GGGCCATACTTGTCTGGGAGCGTATGATAATGTGTCCACAACTTGATTCTCACTACTTAATTTGAAACATATCTCGAAATCAAATAAGATAATTTTTGTCAACCACTTCTAATAATTTGACATGACTTATCATTATTCTAAGAGATACTTCATGCTCTATTGATTTGCGAAAATCTAAAACTTGTGCCTAATAAGGTAATATTACCATTTGAGGATGGCGAGGACAATGGCAATGAGCTCACACCTATAAGTGGGCTTTAGGAAGTGGGACATCTCTAGAAGCAATGCAAGAGCCTAACTAAAGAAAGCCACTGATTTTTGGTGCTGGATGAGGATAGCTCTCACTCCACGACTAGATGCATCTACCTCTGGCTCAAATATGATGGATAAATCTAATAGTGCCAACACAAACAATGTCATCAAGGCCTACTTGAGCCATTGAAAGGCTTCTTCAAGGTGGGGGTCCAACAAAATACCTTATTCAACTATTGTGTCAGCAGCCAAACAACCATCTTAAAATTGTAGACAAAACACCTATAATATCTCACAAGGCCTAGGAATCTTCAGAGGTCATGGAGGGTCATTGGTGACAGCCACTAGCAAACTGCTGCGAACTTCTATGGGTCAATGGCAACACCATTCATTGAAATCCACACCAGCTCTTATGTGAGGGCTGGCCACAGTGGGCTGGCCATATCAGAGGTCCATAAAACGAGACTCTAATCAATACAAGTACCCAAAAGAGGGCAGAACAGGCGGAGCTGCAGCCACCACCTCAACATCTATAAAATCAAACAGTTGTCCATGAGGCAGAGATCAAATGCCTGAGAATCCGGTGCCAATCTGTGGAGTCGACACAAGGCTTGGGTTGGTTAAAGATGAGTGGATAGAGAGACGTGAGGGAGAGAGCTAGCCTTCTATTTGCTCCAATTAAATAATAGCAGAGGTGTTGTGGCAATTAGGAGCATGCCGATGAAGAGGAGCCCAACACAGATCAGTGACGACATGGGAAGCTGGAGGCAGCACTGTAGCACGAACACCATCAAGAGAGAGACACACCAGCGATGACTGATGTTCCCTAATTTCTTAGCCAAGCGACCAATTCCACATTCATATTCATATTCATCATATTTGAAGCTTTTTCAGGTGTCAGAATGGAGAGCGCCAAGAGGACGACACCCACACACAACACGAGGAAGATGCAGCCCATGTGGAGCTTGAAGAGCGGCAGGCTACTCACCAGCCATGGTGGTTGAGCCACGAGCAAGACAAATGCCAGTGAAATCAGGAGAGCAGCCAACATTCTCACTCCTGAAAGAGCCCCAAATATGATGAATATGAATATGAATTGTGGGACGCCAATATCAACCCCTTGGTGGTGTTCGTACTGCGAAGCTGTCTCCAGTTTCCCAAGTCGTCGGTGATTCATGCTGGTCATCTCTTTATCAACATGCGGCTAAACAAAATGACCCCTCCTCTTCTCTCCAATTGGTGCAAATACAGAATGACACCAATGATCGGCACCCGAATATCACTAGAGAGTTAACAGCAGCAAAAACTTTGATCACGGTTTGCAGGAGGGTGTTAACCAGGAATTTAATAAACACTTGGATGAGAGAGAAGAATATATACTGAAGATATGTTTAGAGATGATGAGAGAGAAAAGAAGAAAAAAATTGATTCTTTCAAGTATCTTGTAAGAATTCCTCTGTAAATGGAAAAAAAACCCGCAATTCCAACTATAAATCACATCTCTCACGGTTAAAAAACGCGGTTATTTCTTATCCTGAGCATACCTATCCGATAAATGCATAAACTGACTCTAGCAACACAGCTTTAGATTCAACCATGGACAATCACCATTGAATCCTCAAAAAATCCTGATTATTTCTCCCTGATATAAACAAAAACAAAATCCCACCGGTTATTTTATTTTAAATATTGCATTTTAGAATGAGCGGCAGCAACATCAGGCATCCATCAAATATTTCAATGAAGCCGATTCTTCGGATTTAATCACAACATTCTCATATAAGATTCTCATCGGATAATACAAAAACATCGCGAGTTCCCTAAACTTAGATGCCGAAGCTCTTCAGAAACCCAGATCCACTCCACACACAAGATTCGGCTCAAATCATCTGCAAAAAAAATCAAAGTAACCCAGATCCCTGAGCTGAAAATCACGCAATCTCAGCCATCCCCGCACGCTGGGAAGAGAGCGAAGGGGGAAATAATACGACGAGAAAGGGGGGCTACCCGTGGACAGAGAGGTAGATCGAGCCATACGGTGCTACTAAGAACAGGGAGACGAAACGGGTTGAACCAGAGAGATCCGAGCACGTCTAAGAGAAAGGGTAAAGCTATCCCGCAACAGCAGATGAGAGAGAGAGAGAGAAGCAGAAGCAGAAGGGTTTCGAGACGCACTAACCTTGGGCTCCAAGAATATATATAGCCTTTTTAAAGTGTCTGGAGCCTTTAATATTGGCACTGGTCAGTCTCCTCTGGGCCTCGTAGACAAATGTCCCCTATATTGGGCCTGTAAATCGAACCCATTAATATATAGTCGGACTTTGCCGAACTTTGACCCAGTCTTTATGCGGGCCAGGAGTAAACATTATTGACCCCAAGCCCAAAAAGCCCAATATAAAATATTTACACGAATACATGTCTGCGGCGGTATTATCAGAGAATATATTTTCAAGATGATCAAACCATCGTTGACAAGTATATGCGCACAAACTCATGACTAATATAAGGTTTCTCATAGAGTGAAGAAGAGAGAGACAGACAGACAGACAGAGAGCGAGCGAGAGACAGAGATACAGAGAGAGCGAGAGCAACAGAGAGACAGAGAGAGCGAGAGCGCTCTCTCTCTCTCCCCTCTCTCCCTCTCCTTCTCTCTCTTCTTCGCTCTCTCTCTCCTCTCCCACTCTCTCTTCCTTTCTCTCCCCCCCCCCCGCTCTCTCTCTCCCTCTCTCTCTCTTCTTTGGCACGAGTCCGAGAAAGGGACAGATTTTCGAGAAAGTTTTTATACTAAGGTCAAAGTCAAGTGAAAGTCGACACGTAAGCGATCGCGGAGTTTTTCGCTTTCAAAAAGCATCTGAGCCGTTGTTCCCCGCGACAGATGCCTTATCGCACATGATGCGACAACCTTTCGAAGATTCTCACCGGTTCATCAACTTATATAAGTGCAACTACTTTTATTCTCTCTCTCTCTCTCTATCTCTATCTGGTGCTGGAGGAGAGAGAGGGAGGGTCGCACGGATGCAGCTGGGACGGATAAGAGGGAGAGAGAGGGAGAGAAGGAGATGTAGATGGGGGCAAAGGGGTGCAAAGGGGGGTCAATGAAAGAGGGACCTCCTCTTTCCCGATTGGAGAGGAGGTTTTGGCATTTTCTCGAAGAAGAGATCATTTACCGGCGCGTCCTCTTAACCAATCCGTAAACAACCCACCTTCCTCCGTGCTTCCTTCATCGCGTCAACGTCCGAGGGAGCATCCGCTTGCACGGCGCGGCCTATTTCAAGGAGATACTCCTTGAAATATTTGACCCTGGAATGGTGAAGAAAAGTCAAAGCCCGTATCGTTGCTCACAAGTGAGCAACGTATCGTTGGGTGATATGTATCGTTGGGTGCTATCGTTGATAATAACGATAACTCCCTGATAATAACGCCGAAGATATTTGACCCTGGAATGGTGAAGAAAAGTCAAAGCCCGTATCGTTGGGTGATATGTATCGTTGGGTGCTATCGTTGCTCACACGCGGTGCCGTCACATCGATCTTCATCCTCCTCCTCCCTTTCACACGCGGTGCCGGGAGGAGGAGGAATACAGCGAAAGACTGAACTTGTGGGAGAAATCAACCTGCACCGAAGCTCCTCCCTACGAATTTAGAGAAGGACGGGGAGGAGGAGAGACAGAGAGACGCTAGAAGCAACATGAAGAAGGGAGGAGGAGGAGATAATGAAGGAGGTAGGCTGAGCTCGGATGGGAGTGGATTTACATGATCAGACGCAAGCAGTAGAGCTCGGATGGCAACCCCTTCCTTCTCGATGTGTATACAATATAATATTCCTCAAAAATACAAAGGGACCTCGCCGAGAGATGAGTCGACGCCACCTAATTGACGACGAAATACTGGTTTGGGGTCCTTTCACACCAGCCACTGCCTGCCCGCCAACACATAACGTCCCGTGAGGCCGCTCTCGTGGAAATAAGAATGAATAATCTAAGAGAGAGAGAGAGGGGGCCCGCGGGGGTGAGGCGGGGTGGGGGGGTTTGCGGTGGAAAGGGGGTCAATGAAAGAGGGACCACACGGACGAGAACAAAATGAAGGGCGTAGCAGACCGATTGGAGAAGTTGGCATTTTCCCGAAGAAGAGATCGTTGTACTGGCGCCTCCTCTTCAGCAACCCGTAAACAACCCACCTTTCTCCGTGCTTCATCGCGTCAACGTCCGAGGGAGCATCCGCTCCGCGCGGCGCGGTCTATTTCAGGGTGGTCCTCCTCCTCTGTTCGTCTCTCACTCATTCCTCTCCCGAGTGATTCCAAGGGTTTGGTTTCGGCGCTACGCTGGTGGGCTCTCTCTCTCTCTCTCTCTCTCTCTCTCTCTCTCTCTCTCTCTCTCACACACACACACACACACTGATTTCAGTGTCTCTTCGACCACCTGTTGGTTTAGAAGACTAGACGTACGTAGTTTTATTCTCCTGCTTTTTCACGGCTAATCCCTCGTTCACCAGCCTGTTTTTATTTATTTATTTATCTATTTATTCAAGTAGTCGAGATATCCTCTCTTCTGATTTGATCTAGTCTTATTATTCTACATAATTTTTATTTGTAATAGTTATTTCTAAATATAATTCGCTGGAATAATTATCCATTTCTTCTCCTGCCGCCTGATTCCTATTTGATCCGATCCGATCCGATTGGAAATTGTGGGCCAACCCTAACAACCCCGTCTTCTCTCTCTGTCCCAGGAGGGAGGGGAGAGAACAGCAATGGCTCTCACACATGGGCACGGAGGGGGCTCCCCGCCGGCGGAGCAGCAGCCCGTGGTCGTGATCAACAACCCCCTCTGGGAAGGAATGGCGCCGCCTCCTCTCGGAGGAGGAGAGGAAGGCCGTAGGATTTATCAGGGGTTGGCGTTTCTCCTGATTACCGTGACGTTTGCTCTGCTCGTGGTTCAGCCGCCGCAGCCGGTGGGCAGCCAGCTGCTCTTCGAGTGCTACGCGGCCTCCATCTTCGTCACCTTCTACACTGGCATGGTCCTCCTCTTCTCTTCGATTGCTGCAAATACAGGGCGAGCTCTCCCCCACTGAATCGGAGCATGCCGGGAGCCAGGGTATAATCATCGCGTCTTAGTCAAAATCCCGTCTTTATCAAATCACGCGGTCACATAACCAAACCTCTAATCTCTGTCTGTCTGTCTCTCTCTCTCTCCTGTCTCTCTCCTGTCTCTGTCTCTGTTTCTGTCTGTATGTCTGTCTCTCTCTCTCTCTGTTTATGTTTTATTTGGTCATTATTATTTCTTAACAGACTTCTGTAAGCCTTGTCAATAAATGTGTCCGAGTTGGGCCAAAACAAAATAAGATTGGAGCACTTGAAAATAAATGATCCGACGGACAGGACATTCTGACCCATCACCCTTGACAAAACGACGATCCGACGGACAGTATGCTGGGCGGTGTACGGCAGATTCGCTGTGCCTCTTCATCCACCATCGTCTTCGAATTTGCAGGGTGAGGGGAGAGAGAGAGAGAGAGAGAGAACACCAATGGCTCTAACCCTTCATCACCAATGGTTACCCGCATCCCCCCTGGATTTTAACGGACCCAGGGCCTTGGCTTAGAAATCTTCAAAGCCATTTCCCTTGCTTATTGAGATGTGATGGTAAGTTGGATTTCGGGTGTCCCTCAAGAGGAGGTTTATAAGCGGAGTTCATGATGAAAAATAAGAATTTCTCTGTACTTAATGAGTAGACATTATTTATACATCTAATAAAGTTGACATTTTGCAAAAGCATTAGGTTTTAATGATTATATCATCGAAACCTAATTCAGTATTTTTTCCATTATTTAAGTGAAAATTTGGAATTCAATTTTTTTTTTTAAAGTTTGTTCTAACTTCATCTTCATTGGACATAATTTTTCCTAGAATGGACAGAATTTTTCAAGGTGCATCATACAAATATTTTCTTCTAAATCACAATGAACGAAAATAATCTTTGTTCCAATATGGCAGCACATCACTAGAGGAGAGGGAGGTGAATTATCCATTGTGAAATCACTATCAAAATCAATGAACTAGAGTTTTATTGTGAGATTTGTTGGATTTGACTATTCTTCTAAAGAGCTTTCAAATTGTTACTTATTGCCTTATGCTAGTTACAAGTGACACTAATTAATCCAAAAAAATCAAATCACTTGGGCTCATAGACCGATGATTTTTCTATTCTTAAGCAAACTCTATAACAATCTTTTGCTCAAATAATATATTCTTTGTCCTTAAATCGAGTTGTATTTAGAGTAGGTAAATATTAATTAATATTTATTAATCAAGATCATCAGTCAAGTAAATTGTACTCTATGTGAAGTCATCATCAAAATATCTTAGGTATGCCAAACCATTCAATCTTCACAAAGTTGTTCCAAGTAATAATCTTATGTACGTGCAACATTTTCGACAAATTTAACCATTGTAGATCTTACAACATGAGAGAAATTTTTTACTAAGTTTCTTTCTCTTGAAAAATATTTAACTATAAGTTTTGTCTTGTATATTTTACTGACATCACGTTCTTCTTTATTTTATATACTTATTTCATTTGAATTACTTTATTCCCATTGGCTATGGGAGTTATTTCTTATCTTTGATTTTTCTTTAATGAATCTAGCTCTTATTGCATTGCTAACTCACACTTCACCAAGTCTTTAGCATGTGAAGTGTGCGATTAAATGTCAAACGGGTTTTAATATAATCAGAACATACTAGGTAAATTAGTCATTTGGTTAAGTATTGATTTCAAAATTTTATTAATATAAATATATTAAATATTTTAATTGAGTTTAAACTGATATAATAATTTGTCCATCTAGATTTCAATATTTTATATTAATTCATATCGTGGAATTTTTTCTCTATTTCATCCTGTTTTGTTTCAATTTAAAAGAATTGTAATTGCGTAGGTTGTTGGGCCTAATTTAAAAGGCATAATGGATCTAGTTAGTGGGCCATGTTCTTAAAACATATAGGATTGTTTTTGGATCTCGGATCTCTTTAAAACCAGCTCTAACATAAACGAAACATTGGAACGGATCTGTTTAAAACAGGATCCGAAGGTAAATGAAATGGAGTGGTATGTCTCTTTTGTTCTTCAGCCCATTTCTCGGCCCAATAACCTGCGATAATATATATATATATATATTTATATAACCAGCATCTCGCCTTAAACCTGGGACTAATCACTCGTTCCATGCATAAACCGGCATCTCGACCGAATGGAAAAAGCTACCAAACAAGTATAATAGTAAAATAAACAATAACCGCATTAATCTCCATCCAACATTCTAATAATTACATGGTTTAATTAAAGATGAGCCACTGCTTTGCGCATAAGGTGGTGCTCGACAGAGGCAAAGAGAAAAAGTCAACTGTTTGCAGCAAGAATTCTTGATATGAGGCTGCATGAAAGCTTCAAGGAGCACTATGAAGATAAGAGTAATAAAATGATTATTCAGGAGCTTTGATAAATCGATACACCACGGTTGACCTCAATGCTTCTGAGGAGAGTTTCAACCTGCCCTTTCTGCATGAGACTCGAGTGGAAGGTGTTACAATGCTGTTTCAATTCATTCCGAGCACAGTAGGAGACCCCTACATGGCTTTCTATTTATTCAAAGCATAATCCGAATATTTCGTGAGAAAAGCAAAGGAGAGAATATGATCAGATCAGATCATCCCTGGCAAAGAGTTAATTGGGGTGAAGTCTCACTGTGAAAAATGAAAACAAGCATCAGGTGAGGTTGAGCTAAACGATTATTAGAGATTCGTAATCAAACGACTTGAATGGCCTTTTACAGTCTTTGAACAAATACCCATCCCATAAGTTTTCAATGGTCTTTAGTAATTTTTTTTCTTTTTGGGATGCATTTATCTAGCTTTTTTTTTTTTCCTCCCTGAAAGGTATCATGATGTAAGATTTATGATATAAGTCTTAAGGTGATTGCTACATGTAAACAAACTTCTCACATTGTAGATAAACAAGGAAAAAAATAATTCATGAATGGATGAAACTATATACTTCTAAATATTCATCTTGGGTTCATGTGATGTCAAATTTTCTTCCATGAGTAAACCAATCTCAACCATCTGGCAAACGGTACAATAATTTCTCTTTGACAATCAAATCATTCGAGAGCATAACTATTACACTTGAACATATTGGTCGAAGATCATACAACCCTGCCGGCTTTCTAACGCCCACAAGCCTTCTTTTAATATTCCTTTCAGTTCCTCCTCCAAAAAAATGAAACATACTCTTCAGTCTACTGTTAAATATGAGACATATTATTCGTAACTAAGATTATGCTCTCCCCAAAGGATGTTTCGGAAACTAAACTATGATGTTTTGCTAGTTCTTATCAAGAACTGTCAATTCTGGGGCCAAAACTTATCTCGGATTTTCTTTAACAATGGAGAAAAGAATCCATCCCATACAATTTACCAAGATCCAGATGATCTGATCCTATTTCTTTAAGACAGCTATTGAGGAGACAGTGGTTAAGGAAATTCGAACAAGTGCCACACGACCAGGCATAGCTGTTGCCTGATGCATTATTTTCTGCTCAAACGGATGGTAGGTATGCATCATACAAATAAATCATCTATCAGGCATTACCTTGGCTTGAAACCCACAATCGCCAGACCATCTGAGCTCCTAAAAAATCGTAGTGTTTGATGCAGATAGGCACTTCAGATGTTCAAAACAAGGTTGAATGGCCAAAGCTGGACTAGTTTCTCATCTAGGAACCGCAGCACAATGAGCCCTCTTCAAAAACCATCAGGAGGCCATCCTTCATGTTGCAGTGGGCTGATTGTCCTTCTAAACCTGAAAGTTTTTTTGATTACCTACATATGAGTGCCCACGTCGTATCAAGGATTTTACCCTACAGCACATACCAGGGAGGAGAGCACCCGTCCCGGCGGGTCCCTCCTCTCCTCAACATCTGATCATGGCGTCTTCGTCAAAATCCCCTGTTTATCAAATCCCACGGTCAGCGCCGACGTGGGCGCCTGCGAAGCCTCCCCTTTTTTCCATCCAATACCTCTTGTCCTCTTCTGCTTCTTGTTCGCGTTATTGACCCAAATATAAACATTTACGCAAATATAGATATTTACACGAGTTATACGAAGAGATGGATGAGGCCACCTACGGGATGTGAGCCATCGAGAGAGACGCATTGAAGGTGAGACATTGAGACAGAGAGAGAGAGTAAGCAGTAGATGGAGAGACAGCGAGAGAGGCAGAGGGAAAGAAGAAGGTTTGAAAAATCCTTCTATCTGACTAACAGAAGAAAAATCCCAAATATAACGGTTGTTGAGAAAATCTAATTATCTCCAGTGCAACACCCAATGTCAGCAAATAATTTATTTTCTTTTCTCCATCTTCAAAACTAATTTTAGATTTTGTCTCTAACTAGTTTTGTGATAGCTATTTTCAATTCCAAGAAACAAGAGGCAAACTTATATGGACACGAGGCAGAATAATTGAAATCCAAGTAATTTCAATTAGATTACATATTAATCACTATATGTGATATAGTAATTAGTTGAGAGTATTTTTGCAAAAAAAAAGTGTATTATTACTCTCTATATAATGGGGGTTAGAGTTTGTTAGAAGATGACTTTATGTTTTTAGGTAGATCCAGACCCGATTACAAAGGGCCTATAAATATGTTGTATCTGAGACACTTAAGGGTTAATGAAACTTTTTCTTTCCGTCTTTACTTTCCTGTTCTCCTCTCTCCCTCATTATCAGTGCCTTGTGTGATCCTCTCTCAAGGAGAGAAGAAGAAGGAACTAGCAAGTTTGAGATTTTGACATGGTATCAAAGCAGGCCAGGTGTGTTCGTTTGGAACTCTATTGATCCCTAGAATGTTTCTTTGGACTAAGTTCTTGACCCACTATTGAATACCTCTTATTATGCACTATATTTAAGTTTGAGCTCAGATTGAAAGCTTGTTTATCTTGACACAATATTTCGATGTGTTGTTTGTGATATAGTTGATTCTTTATAACCTTAGTTATATATCTCTTTCTA